CGCAATATTCTTCCAAATCCAACCCGAAAAAAACTTCCAAAACTTACTCCATTTTCTGGAGCTTTTTCAGGGATTCTTGATCTGAGCAGATGCATTTTCACGGACGGAGGAGTCTGACAAAACAAAGCCCGAATTTGTCTAATTTCAAGTTTCCTTTCCTCTACTGTTCATACAAACACTGCCACGATTTTAGAAAAATCGAGCGCACGGCGTACTCCAAAAAGAGCTGTTTGACGCCCTATCGAAACAGCAAAATACATACAAATAATAAGAAATCGACTACTAACGAGCGCACTCCGAGTTCGCCACATACTGCCCTAGAACCATATCCTTTAGGTGCACTGGTTTGATGGCCTTCAACACTTTCACCTGAAACTCTTCGGAATTACTCGTCCTGTCATTAGTGTGAGCCCAAGACAGAGCCCGCGACTGCCATTCGTGGATAGTCGGGCACAAATACGAGTGTGAAGGGAGTAAGTGACTTGACAGTCAATAAAAACGCCTCAAATAAGACACCTAGGAGCATGCGACGAGGAGTCTTTGAGCGTGCAAAAGAGAAACAATGATGGTGTGGCCAGAGAGAACACAAATGATAGTGGAACGGCGATCTTGGAACGATGTGATAATGGCGAAAATCACAAATGTAGGGGCGGAGACCATGAAGCGTGACAAAACCTCGCCGCCCTTATCCACCGACGTCGACCCGCGAAAGCGCAACATCCTCTGCGATCGCGGGCTGCGTCACCTGGTCCAAGAAGGGTTTCTGCGCGTTGGCTTATCGCGGGCTCTGCCTCCACGAGCTGGGGCTACCTTACCTTCTCGTCTCGGATATCTTCAGCATTCAAACTGGCAGGTTTCTCCATAGCTACCAACGTCAACATTTGCATCAAATGATTCTGCATTACGTCCCTAAAAGAAGGAGATGATCGTATTTCCAAAATGTTGTAGTTGGTTGATGGCACAGTCCACGCTGATTGCTTGGACGGAGACGACCCTTTCACAGCGCCTGCTTCATCAGTGCGTTTCTCCTCTCTTACATGATGAAAAAGAGGTGCTTTTCGAGTGACCCAAATCGGAAGAGCACATTGGTAGGCCCGACCCCGCCCATGCGATCATTGTGGGCTTCTGGGAACAAGGCAAACAGTTATTTTCGAATTGAAAATACCACTCACCTTATTATACCAGCCTTATCGAAATAGCCTGCTCGTCCACCGGTACCAAAATTCTCCTTGAATGAGATTGTGACGGAGGCAATGTTGTCGCGATTCCATGACGGGCCAAGGAAGCGATTGCCGAACCTTAACAGTACTAATCATCGAGAAACTAGCAAGTATCAAAGTGGAGGGGGAGGGCCACCCATGCCGCCAAGGTATGCATAGCATCCGATTTTGCAAAACAGAAGCACGCCGAGGTATGCATCGAACACGCCTACTTTCACAGATAGCGATATGAGCCCCGCCTATGGTGAGCACTTTTCCCTGAGGTGCATTCCATGACAGCCAGATAGACGGGGGAACAGGCGGAGACATACAACCATTCCGCCTTCCTCATTAGTTCGCTCTCTCATTGTTGCATTAGTAAAAGTAGGGCAATGAGGATAGCATAATGGTTTCGAGTCTCTGCCTACCTCGCT